CCATTTTGCGAATCGGTGGGGTCATCGGTAGGAAATAATTCGTAGTTAAAATTCAGCGATGTTTCGAACGATGCCTCACATCGCTCCTCATCGGTAACCCATCATTAACACATCTCTCAAGGATTGGCCGATGTATAGCCGGGCATCGTCCAATATCCGTTGAATCTGAGGTCATCGGGGGGTTCAGTGGTGTTCACAAATAACTGTCGATCATCGGTCGATTTTCGACCAAACATTGGCCCGTAGTCGACCGATGTACGAACGATGTTCACCAATGTATGAGCGATGTAATATACATCGGCCGATTATCCTGGAACATCGTTTTTTGATTAGCAATGCATAGCTGGGACTTTGTAAGTCCGGTCGGCAACCACGCCATTTTTATCATAAAACGCATTGGTTGCCCATCGTATACCCATCGCTGGATAATGTGACTGATACTTTAAGGACTACTAGGCCGATGTGGACCGATGTTGGGGCATCGCTAACACCACGGATTACCACCGATTACCACCGGTCTACGGGTACCGGCCGGGAAATATGACCTAGGCATATCACGACAGAACTAACAATTACTAGTACATGTATTTTGTAACCAAATATTAAAAAAGGTCTCACCGGTGTCATCTACAGTGTTGGTTTTACCATTGACATCTACAGCTAATTTTACCGTTCTATAGCTTACTAGTATTTTACCATTGACATCTACAACTGATCTTATCGTTCTTTATCTACAGTTGATCTTACCTTTAAATTCTACAGTTTGTCTTACCATTAATATCCACAGTTGGTCTTTCATCAAAATCAAGCTGAAGAACGTTTAGAAATTCGCCGTTTGTTAGAAATACTTTGTCCCTATGTAAGTTATTTACATCATTGGTAATATCTGTCTTTACAGCATACACGTGGACCATCAGAAATCTGAAAAAAAAGCATTTGGAGGGGTTTTAAGTTTTATAATATTTTTGTACATGATGACAGTAATTTTTGTAAATGATGACAGTAATAAAACATATTCTTCAAATAATTGTCAAATGATTGTTGATTTCATAAGCACCGGGTAATAATGCACAAATATTTCTAATTTTTTTCTCTGTGATAACTCTTTAAAAGTTGCTAAAGTTGATTTCTTGATAAATCTGCCGGAATGTAAATTAAGCAAATCGATAAATCACTGGCTAAGGAAATCTCGTGCGCGTCCGTTTTTTGTGTTTGAAGCTAAGGAGGACAAATATGCATGTAAATCTCGTGCAGTGGTCTTTAACGTCAGTGGGCGAAGAGTATTGAAATTGGCATGGAATTCCTCGTGTAATTTTAATCTATTAATTAACATTTGTAAAATCTAAAAATAGTTTTATTTTACAATGGAATAGAAATATAAGAAATCACTGTCTAGTTAGTATAGTATGTCAGGGACATCAACGGTAGTAGGAAACGTGGGATAATTTATGCATAACAGGCTTCTCGTGTTTTCCACTTTCTTTGATACCCTGGTATACTTTAGTAAATAGACAGTGATTCCTTAAATACAAACCTCCATTTATTACTTGTTGCCTGTTTATATCATATAGCACACTGTCTAACATTGTCTTGGTTTAATATACTTTTATAAAGATAAACTGGGGTAAGGGTACCCTTTCTACCTCGATCCCAGGAGATGTAATATTATTAGTTACACAGTCAGTTAAGGACCTAACACCGAGTCATACAGAGTATGAAATGGAAATCCGAATTATGCGAGGTGAATTCACCGTGTATGGCTCCGTATTACATCGCTTACTTACTATGTTACGAATTTAGCCCGCTGAAGACTGTTTAAATATTAAAAAAAAGTCTATGTGCATATTATGAAATATCAAGTTTTAATCCAATAACAATCCACATAAAATATTGTAACAAGAAATTTAACTTCACTACCTATGCAAACCGTTTCTTAGCCGCCATTTTATTTACAATAACAACGCGAATGGAGTCACGTGCCCGATTTTCATATTACTGTTGTGAGGTGTGTTGTATTTGTATTATTTCATCATGTATATTATTAGTAACATTAAGTTTCTTGAACATTCCAGAGTGGTCCATATGTTTAGTCATTTTTTCTAGAACATTCTTGAACTTTGTGTATGTCCAGAACTTTCCAGTAATATCATGTACTTACAACTTCTAGAATATTCTAGATTTATATTACTGTATAAATATCCTGTCAATTCGATGCATAGATACAATTGTCGTACAAGCATCACTGAGGTATTACTGGGATATAATTTCACTGGGACATTGTGTGCAGCAACGGACACTCTGATGTATGTATTTTTAGATTTTTGCTAAGTTTGTACTTAATGATTTGTATATTACTGTAAATAAATTATTGTTAAGTTTAAACTGTGTGATTGATCTTTGCTGGCATTTAGGGTTATTCTGACCCATAACAGAATTGGGGGCTCGTCCGGGATAAAGAATTTCTTGCACTTTTGCAGTTCATTGTCAGAATTTTGTTAATTAAATTGTTAAATTTGACTATAAGCCAGCAAAAATCAACATGGTATTTTCGGTCACAAACTTTCTTAGTTCGCCAAGTGTGCAGGTTTTTGATACGTTAAAAAAGGATGACTTGATCGCATTAGGTTTGCATTTTGGGTTAGATGTTAAATCCTCTCAGAAAAAGCAAGACATTAGAATTAAGGTTGCAAACAAACTAGTAGATGAAAACATTTTTGAAAAATACGATCTTCCAGAATATACGGTTAAATCAGAATTAGGCTCATACAAAATGACAGAATATCAGTTTCAATTAGAGTTAGAGAAAATGCGATTTGAAAGAGAAGAGCGAGAAAGAGAGAGAGAAGAACGAGAGCGTGAACGGAAATTTGAATTAGACAAATTAGAAAGACAAGAGCACTTTGAGTTAGAGAAATTAAGATTGCAGCACCAACCAGAACCGTCATTTGTCAAGAATGAATTTGACGCAGCAAAAAATATTAGGTTAGTTCCGAAATTTCAAGAAAAATCTGTAGACAAATATTTTCCCCAATTCGAGAAAGTCGCAGAAAATCTTAAATGGCCACAACATGTTTGGTCAACAATGTTACAAAGTGTACTGGTTGGCAAAGCAGCTGAGGTATACTCTGCACTAGGGGTAGTTGAGAGTTCAGACTATGAGAAGGTCAAAGCAGCAATATTAAAAGCATATGAATTAGTACCTGAAGCGTATAGACAAAAGTTCAGAAAGTATAGAAAGTTTGATAATCAAACATTTGTTGAATTTTCACGAGAGAAAGAAGATTTATTTGATCACTGGTTTAGATCTAAGAAACTTGATAAAACTTTTGCTAATTTGCGCCAAGTCATCCTGGTAGAAGAGTTTAAGGAATGTGTTTCTCAAGATTTGAAAACACATTTAGAAGATAAGAATGTGAAAACTCTTGAAGAGGCAGCAGTCATATCTGATACTTACGCTCTGTCTCATAAAAAGAATTTTGTATCAAGATCTCAGACTAGCAGTAATTCTACCAATTCAGACACATATAAAAAGAGTGGTTCAGGGTCTCAGTCTTTCACAAGTTCCCAGTCTCCATCCCAAGGTGGTTCTAAGTCCGGTCCAGGACGTTTTGAAGGATCTTCTGGAATAGGGTCGCTTCCTACTTGTAGTTATTGTAAGAAAAAAGGTCATCTGATCAGTGAATGTTTTAAACTTAAGAGAAAAAATGACTTTGATAAAACTCAGCCACATGCTTGTGCTGCAGTTAGAGGTGATAGAGAAACCTTAGGTTCGATTTGTTCTGACACTCCTGATGTCCAGGGTTCACAGTCCAGTTCTATTGATTCTATGGAGGATTATAAGCCCTTTATGTCTCAGGGATTTGTTTCACTCGGTGACTCTAGCGAAATAAAACCTGTCCAGATTTTGAGAGATACTGGTGCTGCACAGACGTTATTGTTAGAGGGCGTGCTTCCTTTGTCTGAGCAGACTTCTACTGGTGGGTCAGTTTTATTACAGGGTGTGGAGCTAGGCGTCATTGATGTTCCCCTGCATAGAATTAGTTTGAAGTCAGATTTAGTTATTGGACCTGTTATCGTAGGTGTTTGACCTACTCTTCCCGTTCCAGGCATTTCTTTGTTGCTAGGCAACGATTTAGCTGGTGGAAAAGTTGTACCAGATCCTATAGTTTGTGAGAAAATCACTCCAGATGTTATGTGCGATGATAAAGATGATGACATTTATCCAGCCTGTGCTGTTACTAGAGCGATGGCCAGAAGACGAGAAATGGAGGTAGACCATACTCAAGCCTTTGACGAGACGAATTCCTCTGTTGATATTGATTTGAATGACACTTTCTTATCTGACCTTGATGGCACTCAAACAAACATGGAACCACACAATATCGAGAAGTCGGTGATGAAGGAACCTTTATCAAAATTTGGTGGTGAGGATGATGAGTTGCATCCATTAGTTAGCCAAGGCAAGGACATCCTCAGCCGAGAACGTCTACTCTCTGAACAACATAAAGACCCAGATATCATTCAACTTAGTAAGAGGGCACTTCCACCAGAAGAGGCTACTAAAGTTGGAGAATGCTTCTATATGAAAGATGGCATCCTTATGCGAAAATGGCGACCACCTGACGCTTCCCCAGATGATGTGTGGCTTGTTGTTCACCAGATAGTGGTTCCGGCTGCTTATCGTCGAGATGTCATGAGTTTAGCTCACGATACCCCTATGGCTGGTCATTTAGGTATCAATAAGACTTATAATAGGATTTTGAGTCATTTTTATTGGCCTAAGCTAAGGAAGGATGTTTCTGAGTTTTGTAAGTCGTGTCATGTCTGTCAGATGGTAGGTAAACCGAATCAGAAGATACCATCTGCTCCTCTCCAACCCATTCCAGCTTTTGAAGAACCGTTTAGTCGAGTGTTGGTGGATTGTGTAGGACCTTTGCCTAGGACTAGGTCAGGAAACCAGTATTTACTTACCATTATGTGTACATCCACTCGATTCCCTGAAGCCATACCTCTTAGGAATATAAAGGCAAAGAGCATAGTTAAGGCCCTAACCAAGTTCTTCAGTTTTGTAGGAGCACCAAAGGCAATTCAGTCGGATCAAGGCTCAAATTTTATGTCGGGGTTGTTCCAGCAAGTCATGCATGAGTTGGGTATAAGGCAATATAGATCAACTGCTTATCATCCTGAGTCCCAGGGAGCGCTAGAACGTTTTCATCAAACCCTAAAAACAATGCTGAAGACCTATTGTTACCAGTATGAAAAAGACTGGGATGAAGGGGTTCATCTTGTGCTGTTTGCTGCAAGAGAAGCAGTCCAGGAGTCTCTTGGGTTCAGTCCTTTTGAATTGGTGTTCGGTCATACAGTTAGAGGTCCTTTGAAATTGTTGAAGGAAAAGTGGCTGACTGAGACTAGTGATCTTAATCTTTTAGATTATGTGTCTGATTTCAAAGAAAAACTTTACAATGCTTGTAAATTAGCACAAGAAAATTTGAAGAGTTCTCAGATGAAAATGAAAATGTGGTATGACAAAGATGCCAGAAATAGGGTGTTTAAGCCAGGCGATAAGGTTCTTGTATTTTTACCTATTCCTGGTCATCCTTTACAGGCCAAATTTTATGGCCCTTATGAAATTGAAAGCAAGATTAGTGATGTAAACTATGTAGTTAAGACACCAGGTCGACGTAAAGAGAAACGGGTTTGTCATATTAACATGTTAAAAGAGTATTTTGAAAGGTGTGACCGAAATTCTGTAAAACCAGTTTCCACTTTGGCCAATGCTAAGACTGTTCAAAATTGTATTGAAAGTGATATGAGTGTAGAAATGAATGAGAAAGATTGTAATCAGAGTGTTCGTTTGAAAAACTCAGAAGTTTTGGCTAATTTGGATGCCAAACTTGGACATTTGAACATTCACCAAAAGGAACAAGTTAAAAACTTGATGAGTGAGTATCATCACATCTTTTCGGATGTTCCAAAGAAAACTAATGCAGCTTGTCATGATGTCATAGTGGGTGACGCTCTGCCTATCAAACAACATCCGTACCGTCTTAATCCAATAAAATTGCAGTACCTAAGAAGGGAAGTGCAGTACATGTTGGACAATGACATTGTTGAACCTAGTAAAAGCAACTGGAGCTCACCATGTATTCTTGTACCAAAACAGGACGGTACCTACCGATTATGTACAGACTTTAGAAAGGTGAATTCTGTTACCAAAACTGATTCATATCCAATACCTAGAATCGATGACTGTATTGACAACATTGGAAACGCGAAATTTGTCAGTAAATTTGACCTGTTGAAAGGCTACTGGCAAGTACCGTTAACAGAACGAGCAAAAGAAATATCTGCTTTTGCTACACCAGATGGACTCTACCAGTATAAAGTAATGCCTTTTGGCATGAAAAATGCACCAGCTACATTCCAAAGGATGATTCACTCCCTTCTTCAAGACCTTGAGGGATGCGAGGCCTACATTGATGATGTCGTCATATACAGCGACACATGGGACGAACATCTCCGAATCATGCGTGCTTTATTTGACATTTTAGCTAAAGCAAACTTAACTGTGAACCTTGAGAAGAGCGAATTTTGTCAAGCCTATGTAGAGTATTTAGGTCATAAAGTAGGTCAAGGTCATGTTACACCCATTATGGCTAAAGTGGAAGCTATTGCAAAGTTCCCGATTCCTACAAACAAGAAAGAGTTAATGAGGTTTTTGGGCATGGCTGGGTTTTACAGAAAATTTTGTCCAAATTTTTCCTCAGTTGTAAGTCCACTTACAAATCTTTTACAAAAGAGGGTTAACTTTGAATGGACAAAGGACTGTGAAAAATCATTTCATAAAATCAAATCTGTCCTTATGAGCAATCCAGTTCTATCAACTCCAGATTTTGCTAAGCAATTTAAGCTTACTGTTGATGCTAGTGATGTTGGAATTGGGGCAGCTTTGTTTCAAGAGCATAGTGATAAGGTAGATAGAGTTGTTTCTTATTTTTCAAAGAAACTTACAAAATGTCAACAAAAGTATTCCACCATTGAAAAGGAATGCCTTGCTTTGTTGTTAGCCTTGCAGCATTTTGATGTTTATCTGAATGTTACTTTGCATGCAATTCTTGTATATACGGATCACAACCCCCTGACATTTTTACATAAATTGTCAAACAAGAATCAAAGACTGACTAGATGGAGTTTGTTGTTACAAGAATACAACATAACAATTAAGCATATCAAAGGCAAAGACAATGTTATTGCAGATGCCTTGTCCAGAGTATCGTGACATATATGATTTTGTATTAATGTACATATATCTCATTTTAACAATGTAAGTTTTCATTGACATTCAAACTTTTTAAGGGGGGAGGTGTTGTGAGGTGTGTTGTATTTGTATTATTTCATCATGTATATTATTAGTAACATTAAGTTTCTTGAACATTCCAGAGTGGTCCATATGTTTAGTCATTTTTTCTAGAACATTCTTGAACTTTGTGTATGTCCAGTCCAGTAATATCATGTACTTACAACTTCTAGAATATTCTAGATTTATATTACTGTATAAATATCCTGTCAATTCGATGCATAGATACAATTGTCGTACAAGCATCACTGAGGTATTACTGGGATATAATTTCACTGGGACATTGTGTGCAGCAACGGACACTCTGATGTATGTATTTTTAGATTTTTGCTAAGTTTGTACTTAATGATTTGTATATTACTGTAAATAAATTATTGTTAAGTTTAAACTGTGTGATTGATCTTTGCTGGCATTTAGGGTTATTCTGACCCATAACATTACTCCTTGACGGCGACGTAATACGGAAAATTGCAGGGCGTCATGTGATTAGGTTTTTATCCAATCAGTAATCTACCAATTTGTCTGAAGCGGTATAATGCCTGATATTGAGTGTAAAATTATCTTTTTAATAGTAAAACATATCTATGAGCTATACTTACGATGATGTTTTGTCCTCTATGCACCACCTTTTGATATATGCTGTTGAATATCTTAAATGCAGAGCTTCCTCTAATTGAAGAAGGAAATTCGTTTCTTTTTGAAGATAGGATGAAAAAGTCATTTCAAAATAGAAAGTGACAACGACCTCGTCTGGATCGAATCTGTCAATCCGAATTGTGGCTTTTTCTGAAGACATGAGAACGGGATTTCCATTGTCGTGTGCCAAAACATGTATGATATATTTTGACTGGGTCAATTCTGCCTTTCTATTTACTACTCCTGAAAAATTTGACAAATTACAATATAATAAATCTAATATCATACATTTTTAATTCGTTCCTATTTATTAAAAATTGGTTTAACTCTTAATCTTCATTTTTTTAAAAAAAATTATTAGACTTTCAAAGGTAATGTTTGCGGACACATACCAAGCGGAGAGACAGAAAAGGGTGAATTGGAATCTTTGGGATCAAGTCCAATATTAAGGGCAGCATTGCGTCCCACGTCAGCATCTGAGGCTGTGAGTCTAGCTATTATTTCATCACAGAGATTGATAATTGATGCTTCTGTATTGTAGAACGCTGGAGAAAATATTGGTTCATTATCGTTCACGTCTTCAATTTGTATACTTATATTTACCTTCGTCGACAAAGAAGGCATACCATTATCTCTTGCTAAAATAGTCAGAATGAATTTTTCATACGTTTCCCTGTCCACTCTTTTTTTCAAATATATATCACCTGTTTCTCCATAAACTCCAAAATAATAATCAGCTCTTAAGCCAATTTCTGTTGAAATGTCGAGCTCATATCTGATTGCAGCGTTAACTCCAATGTCTTTGTCTATAGCTCCGGTTTGGAGAACTTTACTTCCAGTAGGTAGGTTTTCAAAAAAGGCTGTAGAATATTTTGGACGTCTAAAAACTGGTGCATTATCATTAATATCTGAAACTAGAATCTTAACCGTGACATCTGAAGATAGAGGAGGCGTTCCACCATCTTGGACTCTAAAGAGTATACGGTATTCATCTTCAGTTTCACGGTCTAACTCTCCTGTGGTATAAATGTCTCCCGTTATTTCATTAATTCCAAACTTCCCTACCGACCCCTTCCAATACGTTGCTATTTTATGTTTCAACTCGGAGTTTGTTCCTATGTCGTCATCCAGAGCTGTGATTTTTCCGAAGAAAGTGCCCAAAACAACATGTTCTTGCACCACGAATTCGTAATATTTCTCTGTGAAAGTAGGAGTAATATCATTTACGTCTCCTACATTAATGGTAGCAGTCACAGAGGTCGACCTGGGGGGAAGTCCGTTGTCTGACACTCTTATAACTACCTCATATTTATCAACTGATTCTCGGTCTAATGGTGAAGCAACCTGTAATACACCTGTATTCGGTTCTATCTTAAAGACTGTCTTCATCTCAGAGGAAGCAATTTCATATTTAAGCTTTCCAAATAACTCTCCGTCTAAATCAGACGCATTGATATTAAAAATGAGGAAGTTTTCTGGGACATTTTCGGATACCGTAGTAAGATAGCTTCCTGTTATAACAGGATCATTGTCGTTGACGTCATTTAAAATAATTTCTAGCGCCAATGTCCCCGTCATTTGAGGTGTACCTTCATCAACGGCCAGGATAAGCATTTGAAACCTAAAACAGTAAGGTAATACTACTCCTGAGTTAAGATCAGACGACACGTCTTACTTGAACATGCTGAAAAATCACTAATTTTCGCGGGGTCAAATTTTCGTGGTTTGAGGAAAAAATATAGGTTTGCGGGGACTTAATTTCGTTGATAAAGAATCATGGAGTAGTAACATCTGTGAAAAAATACATTTCATGGAGGGCATAAATTCGTGGGTCTCTTCATACCACGAAAATTTAACCAACACGAAAATTAGTGATTTCACACTATATACTTTTCAAAAAATATGCCATTGAAGAAAGGTCTCTCAGATAAGTTTCCTCACAAAAAATTGAGGTACCATATCAGGCAAACCTATATCAGAAGGTGAGGAAAGTGTTACCTGAACTGAACCTATAAGGTTTGCTTGAAAATCGGTTAATTTGTTAAAGATGTTCAAACGTTTTTAATAAAAATATGTACATAACCTTGATATTGTTTCTCGGTCCAGACTTCCAGTAAGAGACACAACTCCTGACGTTGAATCTACTTGAAAAGGAACAACTGAGGCTGACCGGTAGCTCACTTTGTTGTTTCCAGAGGCAGAAGAATCCTTGTCAAAGGCAAACACTTGAGTAATCTGCTGTCCCAAAGCCATATCTTCGGATACTTTTTCTTGTAAAGTAGGGCTTAAAAACTCTGGTGCATTGTCATTTCTGTCCAAAACTTGAATAATGACAGTACAGATACCCGATAAGGACGGTGATCCAAAGTCTGAAGCTTCAACCACCAATAACGCTGTTTTAAATTTTTCATAATCTACTGGAGATTTTATGGTAAGCACTCCGGTAATGCTTTCTAATCGGAAGTAAGATTCATCATTTCCAGAGAGAATTTTGTATCCCACTTGTCCATTCAATGCTCCCAGGTCAGCATCTGCAGCTGAAACTGTTCCTACAGTACCTCCAATCAAAGTGTTTTCTTCTGTAGAAAACCTTAAATATAATAACACTATTGAAATCAACGTTTATTCATGGTTAGGGCAAAATTAAAAACTTTAATGTTCATGTTGCAATTTTTGTAACTGTAACAATTACATGTAAATATCTAAAACAATAACATACTGATAATTAGTACTGCCGAACTCTGGCGGTTCGTTCACGTCCATAACCGTCACTGATACAGTGGCTGTGGAACTCAATTTACCATCGGAAGCCAGAACAAACAGATTGATCGAAGGCTGTTTTTCTCTGTCTACGGGAGCCCGAAGTGTAATTTTCCCTGTCTTTGGATCAATCATAAAGTTTGGTTGTATACCAACAAATGAATAGGTTACCTCATCGTTATCAGGGTCCACTGCAAGAACCGTAGAAATAGACTTCCCTACAACATCGTCTTCGCTTAATGTACCATTAACCACTAGAAAATAGAAAACAAAGTATAATAATAAGATTTTACATGTATACGGGATGCGTTGCGATAATAAAGTGTAGTAGAGAAAGAAAGTTTTAGGAGGACCTTGGTTTACAAATCTTGGAGCATCTTCGTTTTCATTTAAAATGTTAACTGCCACTTTTATCTGTGTGGATAACGACCCATCCGAAACCGTTACTGTTATGCTGTAGAACGTAGCTGTTTCATAGTCGAGGTTACCTGAAGAAAAAAAATGTGATTTTATTTTTTCAATCATCAATACAATCACTAATCTTTTTAATCTATGAAAAATTCACACAAATACGTGTCTAGAGATTGCTTTGTTGGTAATAAATCCCCTTTTATTGAGAGGAATTGTACTAGTTTGGAATGATTGCCTCCACCATTTTTTTTCTACGAAAGTGTCATCCGTTTTGCTTTTACTAATAATTGCTATAATATAACTTTATATTGTTGTAAAACGATTTCATAATTGCATAAAAATAAGAATATGTTGTGATTCTCTTTTCCAAAATGGTATAAAAATTCTGGATATACTGACAGCCCACTTTTTAGGACTTGAAACCATGATACTTTTTCATGCTCATAGCGCAAGTCCGGAATAGGCATGGAAGAACAGAGAAATATTTTTGATGTTAGGTCATAAATTCTAACCTTAATTCAAAATCATGCAAAATAGTGATAAACAATCATACAATTGGGATAAAAACTTGAACGCTCATGAGTTCAGTGATGTAACAAACCTTTTACTCTGAGTTGATTTGTTAGTACTTCAAACCCATTATCTGCTGGAACTTGAGTCAAAGTGTAGATCAAGGGATCATTATCTACATCTGAACATCCGAAATCCTTTACAATCACTACACCCACACCTAAGAAGCACAGAAAAATACTTTTCTTTTACTCTATTTCAAATTTGATTAAGTGATTGACATTTTGAATTTCCTTAACTAAATAAACAAGTTTTGAAAACAAAATACCCAAACAAGTTAATGTACTTTTTTTATTTGAGTTAAAATACAAGATTAACATTAGAATTATGCCTCAAATGTTAGAAAAATTACCAGCGTTTTCTGACACACTGATGATTGAGACTGGAGTTGTACAGATCGGAGCGTTGTCATTTTCATTATTAACATTCACTGTCACTGTTCCCGTGGCCTTTGATAAACATACACTTTTTGTTATGTTTCATGAAACGTAATTGTATAATCTTTTCTTCATGAATCAATTGTTTCATTGTTAATCAATTGCGTATCTATCTTTTGCTTTGAAAATTTGTTTGATGTTAATTTAAACATAGATTATCTAAATTGCTATATAAATTAAATTTATTTACAAATTTGTTTTCTTCGTTTTTTTTTCTCTTAACTTTTGACGTTTAAAACCAAGAAATAATTCGTACATAGAATACAAATACTCTCTAGAAATATTACATGTATCATTATTTCTTTCAATGTTGCAAATAATAGGTCTTAAAAAGTTGCAACAGACTTTTGATATGATATTTTCCCGATATTTATTTCGTTTTGTTTAAAACAATTTCTATGAATTAATACTTACTGTCTTCCCACCACCATCTGTGGCCTTGACTACAATTTCATACTGTGGAACACTCTCAAAGTCCAATGTCTGTGTCAAGAATATCTTTCCTGATGATTTCTCAATGTAAAAATCTTCTATGTTCCCATTTTTCACTAAGATCAAAAACCTCATGTTATTCCTGAATGACACACATACAGACTTTGACTCAAAACATAGATACATGTATGATACATTATACATTTATATAACGTACCATCTAATATTTGATATGACGTCACATACAGACTTTGACTCAAAACATAGATACATGTATGATACATTATACATTTATTGCATGATAGTGAGGGAAATATGAAGATATATTCAGCCATGCAGGAAGAATCATATCAAGGGTTTCGCCCGATGGGAATACGATATTTCTTGGCTGAATATATATTTATGTTTCCCTAACATTTTTGCAATGAATGGTTTATTATACCGAAACAAGCAAAAACTTTTATTATATAAACATAAACTTTCAAATTCGGCACTGCTTTCAAATTCACTTTCATTTTTATCGCAACGTTAAAAATGAAACCCTTTCATACATCACTTAACAGCAGGTTTGTGACGTAAACCAGGATACTGCGACGTCTACTTCTCTTTTCTTTCAACGAACGATAACTATATTGCGGAAAATATAGCAGGTATCCGGAGAGCTAGTGGAATATGATGGAAAACATGCCGACGGCCGTGAAATATGAAGCTTAATGGCGCGATCACGGGACAATCTAGAAACAATCAGATTACTTTTTGTGTAGAATAATTATATTGAGGTATAATAATTTTTCCCCATCTTTATAACGTACCACTCAATATTTGATATGACGTCACACCATGTGGTTGGGCGTCTGGATCATCTGCTTTGAATTCAATTATCTCGTCACCAATGACAGCTTTTTCATTCACTGTAACGATTTTATTTGCAAGCACAGGGATGAAATCGTTTACTGATGTAAGCTGGATTAAGACCCACACTTTTGTGAAATGAATGCCATCGGAAATTTCTAACATCATATAGTATATTGAAATACCATCGTCAAATCCAAGAGCTGCATCCCCGAACAAAGAAAAAAAAATAAATAAGTTTTTAAACATGGTAGATGTAACAGTCAAATTAAAGTGAAGAAGAGAATTGACAAGAATCTATATTAAGATCAAATCTGTCTTAAAAATAAAAATAAAATCGAGTTTAAAACACACAATCGACAAATCAAATTTTCAAGGTTTTAAATTTTGATAAAAAAATTCTTAACCTTTCAATTTGATATTAAAAAATTCTTAACTTCTTATATCATGTTATATTAAAGAATTAAAATATTCTGAGTATATTTGTACCTTGTGATACTTTAAGCTCTCCAACAGAGGAAATTTGGAAATGTCCGAGGTCACCAGATAGGATTTGATAGGTCAAGGTTGCCCCTGCATCCCTGTCCGTGCATGTTATATTTAGCACCTTACAGAAAAGGAAAAGAAACGTTGCACAATAAGCACCAACGTTTCTTCAATATTATCTTTAAATGTAAGCATTCTGTAACGTTTTCAATAGAAATGAAAAAAAAAATCGGAGTGTTATACAAACATAAAGAGAAGAAATATAAGAATTAGTACTGTTTTATACAACAAAAAAAATTGTATAATAAATTCTACTTCCACGTGTCAATAATATCCGTATTTACGATCAACCTTTAAATCAATATATTATTTTCCAAGATATTTGAAAATCATTTTCTTTTCAAAATGCCAGTATTCATGATATGTAGCAATATGAACTATTTCCAACATTTTATGGCATTTTTATATCCCGTCAATTCAAATTCACATTTAATTAGGAATAGGATATTGGACGTCTTTATCTTGATGATTTTTACAAGATTTACACAAATGGTGGAGGCTACCTTTGAATTCAACGGTTTTAATTGATAATGATTAAAAAGCCTACAAAACGTGTAATTTTCCCTCATATACTGTTCATTTTTGGATACAAAATTATTTCGCCAGTTTAATAACTATATATCGACCCTTCCTCAATGTACAATGAAACATAATTTTAACCTAACAACCAAACTCTATGATAAAAGTGAGGACTTAAACTTTTCTATCGTCAACTTCCCTCACTTAATATGCAGCAATATACCTTCATTACCTGCACACGGAGTTTACATTTAAATATTTCAGTTGATTAGATACGCATGCGCAAGAGCATGCTCAACGTATGAACAATTTCTAAAACGAGATAAATTATTGACAAACAAGTTGATGAAACAAGAATTTCAGCAGACTCGTTTAAAGTCATCATTTTGTAAGTTCTATGGTTGATATATTGACCTTGTCAGCAAATACACTTAATCATTGAGTTAAATGCTGACTGGCGTTTTTCGTACAAAATTGTTAGTCCATTATTTATACACTGAATTGAAGGCGGATTTTCCCGTTATTTCCCGATCATGAAAAGGACTACACAAGTGTGACCTCAAGGGCAGGGGATACTCCACCTTTGATGCTTTGGAGGTCCGTGTTTGCTCTGCTCCCATTTTGTAATATTTTACGGACTTTTGATCTTGAATACTGCTCGTTTTCTTCATATGTTTATTTTTAAGTAAAAAATCCAAATATGAAACAGATGTGTCAGACTCATCACCAGGATTTATTATTGACATCAAGCTGACACCATGTAGTGAGGGCCACAGCAAGTGTTTTCTTCTTTTCATGTATAAGATTTTAGACAAATTCTGCTTTATATGAAATTATAAAATTTATAAATATGTGGTAAGATTCAACATCTCTTTCAAATGTTATTATCAAAACTCAACACAAACTTTAATATATGCATAAAAATATGACTGATCTTCAAATACATGTATAATGGTTATAAAAAAGTTCCTGTGGCAAAGAACAGCACTCTTAAAGGTTATTATTGTAAATAAACGACATTGTGGACTATAAATTGTTGAATACATATTACATATGACAATACCAGGATATAGAAAAGTTACCAATGGTACTTTCATTATTATCAAAACTGACTTTACTTACCGTTGACAAAATAGACTGATCTTCAGGAATGGTAATGTTGTGTTCCTTGGGGAAGCACTCTGGTTTGTTGTCGTTGACGTCAGTAATTGTGACGTTAACGACAGCAGTGGATGATAAACCACCACCATCCCTGGCTTCTATTGTGAAGGAGTAGGCCTTGGTTGTTGATTCATAGTCCACAAGATTTCTCAGATAAATCTTTCCTGTTGTCTTGCTTATCATAAACTTGTTTTCGAGGTTCCCATCTACAATGTATTTGAAAAAAAATGAATGCAATATTTTGATGAAACAAGAAGGGATTCTTCTCATATTCCTTGTTTTGAAAAAAAAAAATGAAATTTTCCCGGATCAAGGAGACTGTATCAGTGAATGATGGTATCACCCAGATTGAATAAAATTCGTGTTATTTTCGTAGCAAGGTCAGGTCAAAGTCATTATCTTTTTCCTTGATATAAAAAATGTATAATTACTGTTGCCAATAAGGTGATGCCTACTTCTATTTCAGAGGATTTTTTGACAAACAGACAATATAAAGGTTTTTGCAAAAACAGTTATTAGAATGGTTTTCCATAAGTGTAATGATAAATATTGTTAAGTAAAAGGATTTTTTTTAAAAAAAATGCATACTTTCTTTATTTAATCAATTATTCAATCTTTATAAAATGTTAAGGAAAATTATATGATAGCATTGAATTCAGTTAACAAATTAAACAAAAATGGATATTGTTGACCCGATTCTTTTTAATACGCTTGTTTAAATGTTTAAATTTATCTTTTTATACATATGGTGAAGTAGTTATAAAGATACAAATTGATACAAATGCAAAATGGTTTGCACGTTTAAAAGGGATTAAAAAAAGCACCTTTTACCGCTTGTTTGTTCATATCCGTACTTAGATTTAAAGTTTTCAAAATCTAACAAGATTGTTGTGTGTTTAGAAAATCAGTTTTAATCAGCATGTACACCATACAATCCAATCAATCATTTATTCAGAACCAAGAGAAGAGTCCCGCCTAAAATACGTCCTTATTTTATTAATATACATTTAACAAATTGGAAAATATTTTTAAAAATGATAAAAAGAGTAGGTTCAAATAGTTTTAAAATCAAAGAACTCCATTAAAATCGGAGTCGTTCCATCGTAACAGCTTAAAGCCACTTCAATTTTATTGCTCTAGTCCTTATGAACAATCTGTTTTTTTTTTTAATTTACGAAGAAGAAACAGATTCACAAATGTATCTCTATGTCAGGTACTGAAGGAATTACCTATTATTTTGTACGTAAGCTCGCCATGGGGTCCTGCGTCACTATCTGTAGCATTCACATTTAAGATCTCCGTGCCAACACGTGTGTCTTCCGGAATCTGTGATAGCAGAGAAGTTGCTTATATACATGCTAGTTTTAATTGAAATGATCGAAATCTTTTAAAATATCGTTTTAAATAGTTGTGCCACGGTATAACTCCTTAAACGTACACGAATATTAACCTGTGAACGAAGAATACTAAGACTGATGGATATTAATTTGTATTTCTCAAAATAAGTTTTTATTGTAATTTTCATATTAAGCAAAAAATAATTAACATGTATAAATAAAATATTTCTCACACTTGTTCCGAGTGGTTGGTTTTGTATGGATGGAGTGAACTCGTTAACAGGTTGAATGTTGATTGTAAGTGTCATGGTTCCGGTCCTACGAGCATCTCTTGTTGAACTATCAACACCAATCACATAAAGTACATATCTGACGTCACCGGTGTCGTAATCAATGACGTTGTTAGTTGTTAAAATCGTAGCATTTAAAACTGTATCATTAACTATGTTCGAAGTCAGTTTAAATTTCTGTGTAGCATCATCTCCAGACTCAATAGATATTATAGAACATCCGTCAGGACCTCCGACAGGCTCCTTGTCCTGATCACTGCACGCAACATCAGCCACGTACAAATCTGAAAGCGTTGGGTGTCATAGTTACATAGGATTTTAATTTGATAATAATTGATATGTTTCTCAAGGATAACCTAAAGTTTTGATATCAATCAATTTATGTATACAATTTGTATTTTATATTTTGTACCTCCATAGTGAAATTATATAAGGATTTAAAAAAATTTTCCTGAATTGAAGTTATTACAAACAACTATTCTAATTCAATAGTATTGTCGTTTCATGCCCAAACCATTATTTAGCATCTTCAGTTAAACTATAAATATGAATCTAAAACCTTTCGAAGATGATTGTTTACAGGAAAACATACCCTGGGGTGAACCTTCAGGAATGGTGACAGTCTGAGGCGTGGGGGTGAGGACCGGGTCATATTCATTGACAGGAAGTACATGGATAGTCAGTAATGGACAAAAATGAGTATGACTCTTGTCGGCAGACGCATCCAGCACCCTAGGTTAGAAACGCCAAATTGATAAATATTCCGGTTTATTCTGTACAGCTCAACTTTTACCTCCAAATTAAATGAAAACAAAAACAAAAATAGAAATAAGAAACTATCTTTGTTTTAAGAATATTCTCTATAATGGTAGAGGACTGTTAGACTCTTGAATAAGAATTTTTGTAGTGTACCCAATATTGTTCACTATAAGAGATGTCAGATTTTCGAAGTCCAGGGCAGAACTTAATGACAGATTTCTTCCTGAAAAAGAGAATGGTTCCTTTGCACCTCCATATGCTAAGTAGTAAAAAGTATGTCCTTCAGGGTCTCTACCAGAGTAAGTATACAGTATGGTACCAATAGGTAAGTCTTCTGGTAAAGTTAGTGTAGTTGCAACTGCAGGATTCGTACAAACTGCCTTTGCATCAAGTCCTATAAATAAAATAATTTAAAAGATAAGTAAACGTGATTTATTTTGATACATGATTAGGCAAAGTCATCTCCATCAGCAAATCAACATCTTTCATACATCAGAGACCCACTCCCTTTTTAAATGAAATAAGAAAATTAACTAAAATTAACTAACCTTGTCATCGGTCATTTGCGTAATCATTTTGTTAAAGAACACTTAAATTGCACTTAAAAGTATTTAAAACTTGATATTAAAACAGGATGTATTTGTACAACACTAAAACGTCTAGGCAATCTCTACCCGGAGTTATCGTTCCACTTATACCTCTGTCAACGTCTAAAAAGTAGTACGAAAGCGGAGGAACGTGATTTAAAAAAAAAATGTTTAAAATTGTCCACAAGAAGGTTAACACATTTACATTTCTATATATGTGTTAATGCTGCAAGTTGTTTGTCTATAAAAACTACATCATGTTGATATTTATCAGCAATGCATTTCAAATTTTCCACGTTCGTAATATCCTGCCGAGAAATAATCCCTTATAGGATATGGTGAAAAAGCGATATTTGATTCTAATTCTCATAAATTAACTATTATTTAACATGTTAAAGAAGAATATAGAAGTTTTACATTCATAATTAATTATGCAATAGATGAAAGTAAGTTTTGCCAAGAATCTTGACATTTAGACGTTGACAGAGGTGTTGTGTAAACGACAACTCTGAAACCTTTAAGTGGCAGATTTTGGCGAAGGTTGAAATTATGCAAGTTAAACTCCCAAGGTCAAGAGATGACATATAAAAAAATTGATTTCCAAAGAAACTACTTGTCTATATAATTTTATATATACCCGTTAAAAACGAAAGCAAAACACTTACCACTCAAAAGTTATGGCCAATTAAAAAGAATTAAAAATTTTTCAAATCCAGAGGTCTATGTCATCGTCAAAAGATTGTTTGTATTCAAGGGAAGGCCTTGTCAGACTTGGGTCCTAGTATTAGCAGATCGAAAGGAAAGTCCACGGCTAAACTTTGGAAAAATCTTGCAAAAGAGGGCCAAACTCAAAGGTAACGGTCAACAGGTCAAATATGGTAGTACCAAAAGAGACATTGTTGACATACCTGGTGAAACATGAAAGCCATAACTACATTCAGTCAAAGACTCTAGCTAATTTTAAATTTTTTGCTAGCAAACACAAATAGATAAACGGAGAGACGGACAATCAGATGAAACACATATATCTCCGAAACTTCGATTATGGGGGCATAGATAAAAATGCTTGAGTTTTAGATTGACACTATTCATGGAGTGTTTGAAGATCAATTCCTTCAACAATCCGTCGGAATTTTCTGTCAAACTGTTAATTCTTTAATTGGAATACCTTGCATAAGTTACAAACTGACCAAAACATCCATGAAAGACATATCTTTGCAGGTTAATTTTCATGCAACATGTCTCAGAATACATAACTCTAAAAATTCAACAGCCAAAATTGATCATTAAAAATATTTTTATTTAGCTATGCACCTAATCTCATCAAATTTATGTTAAAACATATGAAAATCATATATATTCATTAGCCAAGAAAATATTTGAAATCTTTATCAGAAAACATAAATATTAACAAATTGATGTTGAACATGTCCATCCGGCCAGAAATAATCCCAAAATATCTTCAATTTTAAAAATTCTCAAAATCTAAATTTTTTTATGCCATTTTTCCTTTAAAACTATTAAGAATTATATCTTAGGTTAACAAAAATACATTCTTTATTAGGATTGACCAGATAAATTTAGCAAAACAGCCTTTTGAATATGTATATCCCCATTTTTTGAATATCCTATTTTTTTCAATCATTCATTGCAAAAATAATAAAAAATAAAATTTAAAAAGATGATATAGGTTAAAAATCAATAGATATAGATCTCAATTTAGTTTGTTTAAAAAAAATAAAAAGCTTCAGGTCCATAAAGACAATTAAAATATTGTCTCTGTGTATGTACTAAATGACATATCGATCCTACGGACAGAGTGCTAAGTGTTAATTTCCATAAACAATGTATATTAAATTGCCTGTATTTGTATGCACAATGACACTATAATAAACAAATATATATTTGCTAAATTATTTTCAATCATCCAAATATGTTTTGTTTCAATAGACAAGTGATAATCAGAATTTCGTATTGGTGTGTAAAATTAAAAACGGATCCGTAAAACTATGGCCCTTCCTAAGTATACTTATTCCTACCTTTTTTGCAAAAGTACTTTTCTATTCATATAAAGTAGAATTTGATCAAGAAAGTCGCAAGAAAAGGAAAGAAGAAACCTTTCATTGGGACCATCATTCTACATTAACAAAATTTTCATTTTCATTTCTATGTTAATTTGAAATATTCCTCTGAACTTGAAATTAAAGACACTACTAACAGTGTCCGTCACGTTTTATTTAAATAAGGCCATTGTACTATAAAACAGATGTTCATTGTATCTTACGACAAAATTGTATATGATTACATCAATATTTCTGGCTTTCACCTCTCCTAGTTATAAAGCAATATGCATGAACAGTGACACTGTAAGTGTATACTTTTCACTTTTATGTGGATTTTATTTCTCCAGGTTGATTCGCTACGCAAGGGCATGCTCTACATATTATGAACAATTTTTAAAATCACCAAAGGCAATGTTTAATAAATAAGGTTAATGAATACATTGATAAATTGAAACCAGACTGAGACCATTATTTTTGCTCTAAATTATCTATGGATTTTGCCATTTCCCCGATCATGAAAAAGAGCACGGAGATTGTGCCCCTTCGACAGGGAATATTGACTTCTCAACGGTACTTAATTTCACCCATTTGATGTTTTTAGAGGTCAATGTTTGCTCTGCAACCAATCTTTATTATTTCAATTGACTTTTGAGCTTGAATTCTGTTCGTTATCTCCATATATATAAATGATGCACACCGCACTGGCTTTAAGTATTGTATTGTTTATTACCAAGAACCATTATAATACAGTTCAAAGGGTTCATAGGTTTAACTCATAACTCATAAATCAGATTGTACAATATATGTATAACAGTTTCGATATCATTTGTACATTAAGTAAAGTAGGATCATAGAAAAAATCTTCCAAACTATTCATTCTAAATCCATAAAGCAGACAAAGCACAATAATACAAATTTAGTATAATAGTACTTAGTGATGATAAATTCGTTATATCATTCAATGTCAATTAACTTCTGCTATCAATCTTGTACATTTATAAAAAATATTTCCCAAGTTTATCCAACGCTGTTACATTTTTGTCGACAATTGAACAAATTTAAAGGTACAAGAGTCGTTCATCCGTTGGTAACGTAATTTACTGTTGATCATAATGAATAGATCATTGTTTCCCTTTGGGCAAGTGTACATGGTGACAATCACGAAATTAAATGAGAAGGTGGATTGTGATTTAAAGGTAGATTAAGAATGTAGAATGAAATATATGGAAATTAGAACTGTTACAGTATTCGTGCTCAAATGTTAATGCAAGCAATAAAAATCAGGAGCAGAGCAATCATATAGACCTTTGAGACATCAGAGGTTGGATTAAGTGCCACGGAAGAGTGATCATCCCCTGCCGATCGGTCGCATCTGTCATACACTCCATGTCATGATTGGGGAAAACAAAGAAAAATCCCCTGCCGATCGGTCGCATCTGTCATACACTCCATGACATGATTGGGGAAAACAAAGAAAAATTCGTAGACAGTTCAATGTGTAAATAATGACCTTACAATTTGGTTGAAAAATATCAATCATGCAGCATTGAAATTAATGATAGGGTATATCTGTTGACAAAATATTGGTATCGACCATAAATTTTGCGAAAACGAATTCAAACGAGAATGCCGATGGGGTATCATTATTTCATCAGTTTGTTAAAGTGTCAATAGCTTGCTCTGTTTTAGAAATTGTTTTTTCGTAGAGCATGCTCTTGTATATCGAATCAACTGCATGATGGAAATAAACCTCATACATGTCATGCTTGTGAGGTAATAATTAAGGTATATTCCGGTATACAGTGTGTACATTAAGTGATGGAAGTTGAAAATTGAACAATATGATCAGAGACATTCAATCTCTGATTTCAGTAAGTAACTAAAGCCATACACCCGTATCTATTATCAACAAGAAAACATTGATGTAACCATCAATTGTCGCCCGGGAAATAAATAAAGTAAACAATGGAAATGAGTCTTGATCATCATACCGCTCCGATATATGTAAAAAAAAAAGGCATGCGTCTAAATGATGGAGACGATAGTAGAGACTAATTTGAACACTTAAAGTCGGATAAAATTGAACAAAAAAGATACCCTTTTAAACTTTATCAATTCCTAAAGTATAAATGCTGTCTGTATAAAATATAAATGGAAACCAGTCACATGCATCACCTTTATTTAAAAATGCATTTCACTTTAAGAATTTAAAATACGAACTGTGTAGAGTACGTTTTTTCTGCGATAAGTAAAGTTCGATGTTCTAAAAAAAGGGACATGTCGGGTTTCTTTTTAAAAAATGTAAATGATAAGCAATTTTATATATATATATATATATATATATATTACATATCAAAAACATATCTATTTTTACAAATTCACTTTATAGAAATAAATATTTCATGTATCTCGTAATTTATAAAGGGAAAGAACATACTAATTGACAATCTTTTTAATGTTTAGAAAACCTTCAATACTGAATAACTTCTCCCACCTCAATCCCCATATACCAACACTTAAAGTTATACGTATAGAGCAGCCCGGTCATCCCGGCTGCAATAAACACGGAGACACTAGCAACAGCTTACATTAAAGCAATATGAGCTGCATCTTTGAATATTCTATTTTGCTGTTAAAATGTGTCAAAATAATAAATTTGTATGTAACTTAAACCTTTCTGACTAAAGAGACTGAAAGATTCTACATACAATCCAATATGAAGTTTTAAAGAAATCGTTATTGTA